CACACACACACACACACACACAAACACACACACCCACAAACTCACACACACTCACAGAGAGATAGAGCGAGAGAAAAGAGACATACACACACAGTGACAAACATACATACACACAAATACACCGACAGACAAACAAAGAGAAAGACAGGCATACAGTACGCTAATTGGAGGGTGGTGGGGATGGGTAAACATTAATAAGGACACTCTTGTATGACTGGTGTTTTAGTCGTAAGCCCCAAGAGCTCTAGTTAACAAACAAAAAACAGAAAAAGACAAACAAAACAAAAAACAAAACCTTTCAAACATCTTCGTCCTTATCTCCCCTTCGTCTCTTTTAAGTTTGTTACTCTCTTGAAACACCTCTAATCTTCTGGCGCTCATATGATCTTATGCTGTTGCGAGCGTCGTAAAACCTCTACTATAACTAAAACTAAAACTAAAAACCACTCACTGTTGACAATCCTGACGACTCTCCAGGGCAGGAGCAGCACCAGTATAGTTGTGGCGTCTTTGCCTGTCTCGTACCAGCGGCTGTCCAGGAACACAAAGTCCAGCGCAAACGAGGAGACCACGATGAACGCGTCAAATACCTGAGGAAAAAAATTCGGCTATTTTTAAAACTAAAAAAACAATGAGCCCGTCAAATGCCTGAGAAAAATAATGCTTAAAAAAAAGAAAATTCAATGAACACGTTAATAGTTTGTAATAGGAGACCACGATGAACGCGTCAAACACCAGAAAAGAATAAGTCACTTTTTTTTTAAATGAAAGACAACGCACGCGTCAGTTACCTGAGAAAAATAATGCATTTTGAAAAACAAAATACAATGACGCGTTTATAATACAAAAGAAAAAAAGATGATATAAATTAGAAAACTAGGAGTCAAACATCTGAGGAAAAATTAGGTCTTTAAAAAAATACAATAAACTCGTTAATACCAGACAAAAATAAAAAATAAAAATTAGTAATCAAATATCTGAGAAAGAAGTAAAGCATTTCCCAAGGTAAAAATACAATGAATGCTATAATACGAGTAATAAAGAAAAAAAATATGATAAAAATCAGAAAATAAACAATGAGTCATATATCTGAGTAAAAATATTATTTGTAAAAAAGAAATACAATGAAATTCCAATGTCATACAAATAAACAAATAAACATTAAAATATAAAGAGGAATCAAACATTTGAGAAAATAGATACTGAACAGAAAAATGAAACAGATGTGTAAAACACCTGAGACAAATAGACAACGTCATATAAAATTCGATGGGCTGGACAAATACCTCGGAAAAATGAGTAATAAAAATGAAGTGGTTCTTTCATTGATTTGTAAGTGCGAATTTTGTTCACAGCAACGATGCATACCTATAAGGGAATGATAAAGAGTAATGACTTTAAACTACTGGGCAAAGCTTTGTAGATCTAGGGGCCTTGATTATTCAAATGCTCTTCCGCCCAATGTTTTAAGTGTCATAGATGGTAAAAGACATTTGTTTTGTGTCAGCTGAGGACCTTAAACTGCAAGTTGGAATGTAAAGTCAACAGATTTGATAAATATGATGGTACGTTATCATTCATGCATTTGTGATATAGAGTCGCCAATTTGTACATAATTCTTTTCTCAACAGGAACCCAGTGCAGTGATACGCATCATCAGGCACATCGATCCACAGTCATACAAAACCGCCATTGTCTGTCGCGCTGTGCTGTGTCCTGTTTTTTTTTAGCAAAAGGTTATCGTGTCTTACTCAGGGATATTTTATCAAAGTGATTCACTCACCAAAGCTGACAATGTAAAACGAGTTTTATTTCGAGTTGAATGGTATACAATTGCGGGGTTTTTTTGTTTTCGAAAGCGTTTGACAGCACTTAAGTACAGACAATATAGCTATTTTGAGGACTTACAGCTTGATGTGAATGGTAAAGTGAGGAAGAGTGCGAGCCTCAGGACGCTATCAATTTCCTTGCTTGCGACAACGAGGTTTAGACGGGCAACCCAAATAACCCTTACAACCCCCACAACAAGCCACCAACCCGAATACACACAAAAGAACACACGTTTACCTCTCCATCTCCATCTACCGAGAATCCATATCAGTTCTAAAGAATGCAATGTAAAAAATGAGTGTGACGTCGAGACTGTAAAAGGAAAAGTTTTGATTTAAAGAAACACTATTCCTATTAAGTCAAACAGAAAGGTTTCGAGAGAAAAAATGCATGAAAAGTCATGAAGAATGATTTGTATATTAGAATGTTATTATCACGAATGCACTTTTGGGCACGGCTTCTTTTCTTCCATATTATTCATATGCTTTTTCTCAAATTTGGAATCAGCACAAATATGAAAATTAACAAAATGACCCAAGTTTGACATTTTTTCTTGCTGGATTTTGAAGAACACAACGAACGTATTTTTACCAAGATTGCATTATGTATTATTTTCTTATCACAAAGAGCTGACAACTGTCAGTTATAATTAAACATGTAATACTGCATATAGGGAAATGAATATTGTTATTCAGCTAGAGATCACATTTTACATTTAATTAACAATGACAAAGAGAATGCACTGCCTACTTATGGTTGGATGGAAATCATTGTTTATAAGCTATACAGAAATGTCAGTGACGTTTCAGTGTCAACAGTTGAAATGTATTAGTGTTTTTGTTGACTCTTACCTTTACTGAGACATATATCTATGTTTGTACAAACAAGATAAATAATTAATGTTAATTCAAAAAAGAATTACACAAAGCCATAGTACCGTTCCCCTTATATAAGAATAAGAAACTGCATAAGCAGTAGTTACATCTCCTAGTACTTTCCACTATAGGCCAGTAGAAAAACAAAAAGTAGCGTGCAGTGAAGCAATTTTGGAGAGCACAAGCAATTAAAAACTTCTTCACAGAAGCGAAGAGTTCTTTAAAAAGTTTTCTTTTAAACCATTTAATTCCATCTTTTAGGTCGACGACCTAGAGCTGTACTTTGGCAAGAAAATTGGATCAAAAGTACAGAAACAAGACAACCAATTTATTGTAATAAGAAATGAATTTCTAGAAATGTTACAACGGAGATATTATGGGAAGATATTATTGTTTCCACAAGAGATTTGGAACGAGCGGAGTGAGGAGAGACTGGAATTAACGGTGAAAACAAAAAGGATTACATGTGCCAGTTTAATTGGATGCTTATAAAGACAAGTAGGTCACCCAGATTTTTTGCTTTCATTCATGTTATAATTTCCCTCTCTGCCTCGCTCTCTCTTTCTTTCTTTTTTATTCCTTACTTGCTTTCTCTCACCCTTTCTTTCTCGCTCTCTCTCTTTCTCTTTCTTTCTCTCTCTCTCTCTCTCTCTTTCTCTCTCTCTCTCTCTCTCTCTCTC